GGACCGGATGCTCGGAGTGGGATCACCCACTACCCCCATCCCACAAAGGCATTTATAGTACTACTCAGTGCTTATTATAGTTATTAAGTTATTATTATTGTTATTATTATTATTATTATTATGACAATTTTTGTGCTAGGGGGAACCATCAAGGTTGCCCCGTTTTAAAAGAATTCAAACATAATTATCAGGGCTACGTGTTGAACTATGAACAAACAACTTGTGAGTTTTTAAGGTTGAGGATGAAAAATTTAATGTCAAAAAACAACCGACAAGAATGTCAACTTGCTGACTAAACAGTTCCTAGTCATAGTGTGCATTGTGCGATAGTGTGTGCAAATAATAGTTCATTCTGCGTTTGCTCGATATGAGCGCTGGCATCAGCAATTGCCCCATTTATGGAGAAAGATTCAAGGACACGGATGCTCGGCGCTCAATGACAATGATGCAAGCAGCGTTGCCAACCCTACAGTTTTAACTGTAGATTTCCAAAAAGTTTTCAGTTTGTGGTTTCAAATCTACAGTTTGAAATGATGTAAAAAAATGCCAGCTGATCATGCATGCAAAAATAAAATCTCTTTGAGCGGTTGTGGTTCTGGTTGGACTTGAGTGAATTTGGAAACATTGAATGGAAATTCTGTTTTATGTCACTCAAGGCCAACAACCAGAACTACACCTGTTCAAAAGAATTTGCTTAAGCTATGCAAAACTGCCACTTTTTGATCTTGGTCTGCGACAAATATGCGAAAAATAATGTAAATGGAAGGCTGTAGATTCACAGTTTTTTAGATAATATTCTACAGTTTTTTAAAAGCTCATATACAGGATGATTGTGTGTATTGGTCTGCACGTGTATAAAATCAATGTTAAATGTGAGAAAATTATTAGTGTATAGGCCCATGAAGAAGTTGTGCCATGAAGTAAATACAGTATTTTTCACGAGTATCCATTGCGGTGGAATTACAGCTGATTATCTAGTAATATTTCAAAATTCCCCATATCGGCAAAGGACACATAATTCTGACGGATCCGTCAGTGCCAGGTGGACACAGCCATATTTTGTTTCGGTTTTTACAGATTCATTTTTTACTTGCTAAAAGCTCTTTTGTTTAGAAAAGTTCATTTGCATACAAAAAACAAAACAAGTTTTACTAGATTTATACCTGATTCATTATTGTCAACGTTGCAGACCAACACAAAAATGTCACTGACTGATCAGCTGTTCACCTCAGTAGATGCGTGATAGATACTCGTGAAATAGAGTATATATATATATATAACAAAAATAGGAAAATAGTGGGCAAAATCAGCAAAAAGTGGATTCGAGCAGAAAATAGGATAGGTAACCCGAGCGATACGTATTTCTGCTGGTTGGCTTCATCAGGCCCGAAATGAATGCACATACGCAACTACAAAAGTAGATACACATGCCCACACATCCGGATACGGGTGTAACCTGAGGAAACGAAGATGGAGAGGAAAAAAAGACACACGAAGTCCACAACAAGAGCCAACCTACTGTATCTACTTTTGTAGTTGCATATGTGCATTCATTTCGGGCCTGATGAAGCCAACCAGCAGAAATACGTATCGCTCGGGTTACCTATCCTATTTTCTGCTCGAATCGACTTTTTGCGGATTTTGCCCACTATTTTCCTATTTTTGTTATATACCTTTCTCCGCATGATAATTTTCTATATATATATATATATATATATATATATATACTAAGTGACATATAAATCCGAACACCCAGTTTAAATGGTTTTATTTTAATAAAAGTTGGTGAATGTATTTATCTTACTGTAAATAACAAGTGAAAAAATTTTCAGCCTTATCAGTTGGACATTCCGGTTTTTATACTGCTTTTTTTTAATTCACTGACGCTCTAAAAATGAATATTTCAGCCGCAGTAAAGAATCAACGTTGGCGGATTTTGGTTCTCTACATCCTTTACGATCGGTTACGATGCCTAGAGTACGGAGACCTGTACGATTTCGTCAACTTAGTGAGTTTGATAGGGGCCGTATAGTGGGACTTCGGGAAGCTGGACTTTCTTTTCGGGCAATTGCAGTTAGAGTGCAAAGAAGTGTAGACACTGTGGTTAGGTGTTGTCAGGCATGGCTTCGAGAAGGCCGTACGCAAAGAGCAAGGGGCACTGGACGCCGCCGTAGAACAACAGACCGTGAAGATCGCCGCCTAAGATTATTGGCCTTAAGGGACCGTTTCTCCACTACCAGGTCCATTGCAAATGAATGGTTTGCAGAACACGGAAGACCTATTGGCATGCGAAGTGTTTACCGGCGAATGAGAAGTTTTGGCTTGTTTTCATACCGGCCACACTGGGTCCTCCCTTTAACTCGAGAACACCGACGTAATCGCCTTGAGTGCTTTTCTTATTACTGTCATTTTTGAAATTCAGGAAATTTTCATACGTAATTTCCAGGATGAAAAAGAAAAAGTGGATGAGTAATTTCTAACTTTACACACATCTCACATAATGTCATCTCAGAAGCAGATGTAACGACGTCAGAGCCAAAGCCAAACAAAGTTGGCACATTGTAGAAAAACCTACAGAATCGTCACAAAAAAACATATAGAGGGTTTGTCCGGAAAGTAATAGGACTGAGTCGATTTAAAAAAAATTATTGAGCCAATCGTTACAATTCTTTAAAAACTTTCAAAATAGGCTCCTTCTGCGTCGATGCAGCGCTGCCAGCGCGATTTCCAAGCATTGAAGGCGTCACGGAAGGCATTCTCCGGAATAGTCTTGAGAGCCGCGGTGCATGCTGCTTGGATCGTCTCTGTCGTCTCAAAATGCTTGCCTTTCATCGGCCTTTTCAGGCGAGGAAACAAGAAAAAGTCCGGGGGGCCACATCTGGGCTGTAGGGCGGCTGCGGAAGCGTTGGGATGCCGGCCTTGATCAGGAAGCTGTTCACAAAAAAGGCGGTGTGAGCCGGGGCGTTGTCGTGGTGCAACTTCCAGTCGGCTGCGATGTCTTGTCGGACCCGACTGACCCTTCGTTTGAGTCTCAGGAGCACTTCCACGTAAAACTTGGCGTTGCCGGTTTGTCCAGGAGGAACAAATTCATAGTGGACGATGCCTTTGATGTCAAAAAAGACGAGCATCGTTTTCACTTTGGATTTGCTCATTCTTCCCTTTTTTGGGCGAGGAGACGCCGTCGTGTGCCACTCGGAAGATTGCTTCTTTGTCTCGGGATCCTACTCAAAGATCCACGACTCGTCACCTGTGATTACGTAATTCAAAAATTGGGGGTCACTTTCACACATGTTCTAATTTCGTCAGTGGTATAATAAAATTTATGCTCCGCCACTGACAGTCAGGCTAGCCAGGACCATCTCGTTACCCAGCGATGATTGACTTGGGGTAATTCCGGCAACGCCGCGCTGCGCTGGTGTGAACCTGATGAGTCACTGATGACTAGGGACACTTTTATAAATTCGTATTGTAAGGTAGGTTAGGTACTTTGTTTTTCGCAAGTAGTCACGTACGTGCTGTGTTAACGTAGACTGTGCTTTTTTTGTTGTCGTGTCGTCGCTTGTTATAACTGGTGTTGTTATTTCTATTGTTATTGTTGTGATTATTGCTTGGAACTGTGACTTTTCCAATCGGATCACTTACCTAGCATCTGTTGAGTTTACCATGGAGGGTGGAGCAAGGACGAGTGGAAGAACTGGTCGTCAGGGTACTGGTAGAAAGCTTCGCAAGGCGCTAAAAAAGGACGCCAAAGAAATCGTCATAAACGTATTTAACTATCTGAACAAAACAATGTCCACGGTGGAAGCAGGTATGCGATGCGAAAGCATGACTGGTATCCCAGAGTGGACCATTCGCAGGGCGGTTCGGGAGAAGCAACGAACTGGAAGTATTGATGACCCAAAATTCCATCTCAGAGGAAGAAAGGCTATTGAATTAAACGACGACAGCAAGATGGCTTTACGGCGAATAATCCAATCGTTCTTTTTTAGGAATGAAGTACCAACACTTAAAGCTATACATGCTAAGATAAAAGATAATTACGTCATACCCTCGATGAGCGTCGAGGTATTGAGAAAAAGCCTGCCCAAACTCAACTTCCGCTACGAAAAGCGAAGTCGTAAGGCGGGATTGGTCGAAAAGCCGGAAATAATAGCGTGGCGTCGAAAATATCTCCGCGCAACTGCCGAATACCGACGCCAGGGCAAAAAGATATATTATCTGGACGAGACTTCTGTAAATGCGAGTCACTCAGTAGGTAACGGACAAGCCAGTATTGAAGGTTCATCAGCAGGTCAAACACTAATCCTCATTCATATTGGCAGCGATAGTGGATTTTTAGAGGGCTGCCATTTGACATTAATCTCTAAAAAAGGAGGTGACGATCATGACGAAATAGATGCCGGTTGCTTCGAAACTTGGTTTCAAAGTGTACTTCAGCGTGCTGAAACCAACTCCGTAATCGTCATGGACAGTGCTTCGTATCATAGTCGACAGGCAGAGCGTGTTCCAACTATGGCGTCTCCGAAAACCGAAATGCAACAATGGTTACGCGAAAAAGTAATTCCATTTGAAGATTCATGCGTCAGCGCGGAACTGTACGATATAATAAGCCATCACAGGCCTTCAAACGTCAGTTACGTTGTTGATGAGATGGCTCGTCATCGTGGTATCACTGTGTTGCGTATACCGCCCTTCCATTACGAACTCAATCCATTAGAACTGGTCTGGACTCAAATTAAGGGTTATATTGCAAACCATAATACTACCTTCGATGTAGCGGACGTCAAAGTTTTGCTGGAGACCGCTGTTGAGCTTGTAACTCCTGAGGCATGGAAAAATGCAATCAGTCATATTGTTGAGGAAGAAGCGAAAATGTGGCAGCTTGATCAACACATCGACGCTGTCATGGAGCCTATGGCCATTAAGGAAGGGCAGATGGAGGAAGGAGATAGCAACAGTTTGTCGGATGAGAGTGACAGCGACGACGAATAAAGCAATAATATTCAACCCCTGCTTTATTATAGTACACTTCAAATTTCTGATTTGTCCATTACAGTAGAGCATTAAAGTAGAACAAGTCGTATATACACACATGCTCAAAATGTAAGGATATAATAAGTATTGCTATATATTATAATTATTTTTATTTTAAATTTCATTATAACAGTGGAGTAAGTAAGATAAGTAATAAGTAAAATAACCTGATACACCAGCAACTTAAGTGATTTCAATGAAAGAAGTTCTAATTATTCAAAATGTATTAGAAAAAAAAAACAAAGAAGTGTTTAATATGGAATGTGTATTTATGGTTGCTCTACAACGCCTTTTCATACTCGGTACCAAGTTGTCCAAATGTTCTTATGGAATTGCAGCCCAGCACTGTTGAAGAGCTTGAAACAACTGATTTCGGTTCTGAAATTAATTATGGTCCCTAAGAATTCTTCTTCGAAACATATCCCAGGAATGCTTATGGGGTTCAAATCGGGAGATTGACCGGGACAGTCTAAAATGTGGATATGTCGGTGTTCCAGGAAATTTGTTGTCACTCTTGCTGTATATGGAGTAGCATTATCATGCATCAATATAAAATCTGGACCGTCGGTATCTCTGTATGGAATAACAACAGGTTCTAGAACATTCCTAACATAATCGTTGGCCGATAAAGAACGGTCCAGCAAAACGAGCTCAGTTCTACCATGAAGACAAATTCCTGCTCACACCATTATTGTGCCTCCTCTGTAACTGTGAACCTCCTGGATATGTTGGATTCGAGATCATGTGCCAGGTGCTCTCCAAACACGTACCCTTCGAGAATCTGATACAAACCAAACCGTGATTCATCGGAAAACAAGACATTATCCCATTGATTTTGGTCCCAAATGACATGTTCTTGGGCCCACGCTAGCCGGGTTAGAGGTTGGCATCTCCAAGGCCTTCTGCTGACTCTCAACCTTCTATAGATGTCTTGAAACACTCACATGCTGAGCATTGCGCAGATGGTTAATTAATTGAGGAGCAGTTATAGTCATTTCTTCGAGCTTGAAATTGAACATATCGGTCCATACGAGGAGTTGTCATCCTTGGGCGACCCAAATTCCGTTCTCGTGTGCTTCCAGTCTCACGATAACGATTCCAGAGGGGCGAGATGATGCTCTGAGTAGTACCCATAGCATTTGCGACATCAACTTGAAGCATGCCAGCTTCAAGCATTCCCACAGCTCTCAACATCTCATTTTCACTTAAATGGCGTCTAGGCATGTTTAAAAAAAAACACTAAAAGCACGTTTGCAGAACAACAATTGATCAGATACTGTACATACTCGATATCGCTTCTTATTGTATAGTATATTATGATAATTTTGTTTACCTTTAACTTGAATCTTTTTTTTATCTTTTTTATGGTGAAAGTATGCGGAACGGTGTGTCCTATTCTGTTTACATTAATAATATGGTGTTACACTGCCCAACATAGTTTAAACTACATAATAAATTATTGAGTATCTCTAATATCCCTAGATTTTGAGCATGTGTGTACCTTCACTATCTATCACGATACTTCAACACGAGAAAACGAGCTGAGCATTCAAAATAACCAATATGGTCAAGTGATAGAGCCGTACTTCGTATACTTCTTACAGAGATAAGATACGATAATATAACTTTTACGTGAGTTTTGTATGAATTTAGTAAATTTCTATATAAAATGAGTACGAACCAATGATCATCCATTTGAAGTCACTAAAAAATTACATAAATTTTAACAAATATGTTTTTGGTGCTGATAGCCAATAAACATCAATAGATACATTATCCGCAATAGCACAAAATTAACACACTGGATGCTCAAATAGACGTCAGAACGTCTCGAATTATCGTGGTAAATAATAGATGAACCTCCATTGGGGACAGATTTGAACTAATTTGATCAGGAGCTTTTTATATGGAACACTTTTATAAATTCACTGTTTTCTAGCAACATTGTCATTGTAATTAAATAATAAGACCACACATTTTTTATTAAAAGTGACCTAGTATCAGTCATCATATTTTATTTGATACTAAGAACACAATCTGTATTATAAATGTAAAGTACTGGATGATAACGATCTTGTTTTTGTATAAATCTTCAATGTAATTAATATGGCAACATGAAATCACCTTTTATCTACTTCAAACTCCAAATAAGTCTTTAAATGTAAAAATCTCATAGATGATTACTTGCTTGTTATTTACTATATTCGTCTGGGAACATAGAATTCAATAATTCTCTGAAAAAGATTCCAGCCTAACAACACCCGCAATGCTCTCACAATTGAGTGGTTGGAAATGTTCGCAAATTACATCATTGGACCAATTCGGGAAACGACAGTGCTCTGTGTCGATTTGATATCATTCTTGATTTGTTACTGTGTACTGATGTCAAATTTAATTAGCCATCAGACTGAGAGCAAGTTTACTGAATGCACTCAGCTAAAAATAGAATTTTCTCTAAAACAGCGTTTTTAATTGACTAGAATTGTCTTAAATGTTTGCTGAGACAGGCTCTGCTATTATCGTCCTATTGCATACATTTTGCAGGAAAAAATCTTGTGTGCTCATGCTGTTTTAAGTATGTAGATGATATTGTTGAAAGCGGACCAAATATTGATAAAAACCTCGTCAAGTGTACTCAGGGCCGATGCCACCGTATGAAGAGACTAACTAAAATTAACAGGTACAAATTAAAGGAATGAACTACAAAAATAATACCTAGGAGCGAGAAATAAGTGATTCTTATAAAAGTTAACTGTATCAGGAGAAATAACGTATATCACGTATGCTGGAAACACCCCCGTCTAATGTTATCCTTCTTTAGTAAAAAACAGGTCGACTCCGAATTGCCTACAAAGTAAATATTGGGTTTTTCTAACCCGTATTGAATACCGCGCGGTTGAACAGACTGTTCTATACCATAGCTGAAAATACTCTTGTTCAGGTCACTTCAACATATTGCTCCACCTACCAAGAATTCAAATTGGTGAGTCATCAGCTCACGCTCCTTCAGAACGTAGCATTACAAGATCCCTCTTTAGCGGTTGTCGGTTAAAATGGCGATTTGCCTTTCTAATCGATTTTGCGAATGAGTTAAAATTACATTTTAAATGCTTTAGTCTAGTGTTCAGACGGTTGTGGTTATCAAGGATCTAGCAACATTCCAAAAACATCTTATCGTATCAAAAACTAATCAAACTCTGCACAACTATTTCACTTTGATTCTTTTTTTCTTTATCATACTATCGACTGTTGTTTTACTTTTCCCACCACTAGCAGTGTGGCCTATATAATTATCAGAGTTAAGCGAACTTTTCCTAGAACTATGTTCCCGCCGTATGTGAACCGCAATGTCCGAGATTTGCGGAAAAGCCTTGTTGCACTTGCTACACGCGTATGGCAAAATGTTTATTTTTTGCACGTGAGTTCTTTGGTGTTCCTGTAGGTCCGTCACAGTAGGAAACCGGCTCTTGCAAATGTAACACAGGATCATTTTGTGATAAACCTGAAAATCAACAGAATAAAAGTGAACAAGCAGAATGTCCATATTATTGCATTATCCCTATCACTTTCGTGTTCAACTTCACAAGTATGATTGCGAAGTACTAAAAAACAACTTTTTGTAACATTGTTCACACGAGGAATAAAATTAAGACATCCAACAAGAGATATGCCTAGTTTTTTTACAGTTCCACATACTTTTATAATTTCACCATTTAATAGTCGAATATTTCTTAATTTGATTTCTAGGAGAGAATATAATTACTTTTGATTTTTCTGGATTTAATCTAAGATTATGAATTTTTGCATACTTGTCGATAGATCTCAAATCTTCATTATTTTGAGCCTAAGCCTACAGGGTGGCCGATATGTAACTGCCTGGTTTGTATCTTGAATATTTGTGAAATGAAATAAAATAGGTTTTTTTCATCTTAATCTTTTATTGAAACTTAAAAATTATGTATGAAAAACACTTTTTGGTAGGTTGCGGGAGGAATATTTTCAAACGCTTCCGTAATATTGTTCTTCAGCTGCTCTTTAGTACTTGGTTTGTTGGCATAAACTCTATTTTTTCCAAAATCCCCATTAAAAAGTCAAGAGCCGTTAAGTCAGGTGATCTTGGTGGCCAGTTGACATCATCAAATTAAACGTCACGGAAATATTGTTCGCTAAAGATACATTGTTTCTCTAGCTGTGTGCCAAGGTTGCTCTGTCCTCCTGGAACCACATGTTTTGCAGGTTAAATTGTTGGATTTGAGGAGCCAGAAAGTTTTGCACCAAATCACGGTAGCGCTTGCCAGTGACAGTAAGAGAATTACCTGCAGCGTCATCAAAGAAGTAAGGTCCAATGATACCTCCTTACCAAACACCGCACCAAACAGTGACTCGACGAGGATGTAGTGGTCGTTGATGAATGACACGATTCTCTAATGCCCAGATAGGACAATTCTGCTTATTAACAAATCCGTTCATATCGAAGTGGCCTTCATCGCTGACTATCAGTTGTCGGTAAAAATCGTTATTTTGGGTATTAAGCTGCAATATTGGCGACTTTCATGGCCACTAGGCTGTAGTTCTTGGGTTAACTGAATTGTGAATGGCCGCAAATGCAAGTCTTTTTTTAAAATAGTGCATAATGACGTGGGACGAATATCCAGTTCTTGAGAACGATGTCTGGTAGACGTCTCAGGGTGCTCCACTACACTTTCACCAACTCTCTCGATACTTTCCGGAGTACGAACAGTTCGAACAGGCCCGATATTGGCAAGTCTTCAAGTTCTGCACCAACTGACGAATTGTGTTGATACTGGGCACATTATTTCGACCGAAATCTTGTCGTAGATTCCGAATCGTTGCAACAATCGACTCATTATTTAAGTATAACGTTTTGATAATACGAACGCGTTGTGGGATCGTCTAGCGCTCCATGATGAGTTGGACACATATGCTTTAAACAACTACTACGGCGCCATCTACTGAAGTGCGTTTATCAAAAATTGCGCGCAATTTAAATCAGCCAGTTATATATTTGCCACCCTGCATATGGTTAGTATTAAAATTATTGAGGAACTCCCGATGATATTAAAGCCTCAGGCCATATCGTAAAATTGAATATTTCATGACACGATGGAGCATTTCATGAGATTATTCCTGTTTATTAACAATAACTGAGTGATTGACATCATAACACAGATAGTATTCCTGCCTTGGCCTATGTAAGTACACTCACTTGATATCTTACTTGAATATCCTTCCCAGAGAAAGGGAAGTACTCCAGTGTAATACATATAGGCTTGGTCCCTTTTAATCTATTCGAACTCTTTGGTGGTAACTATTCAATTTTGTGCAGGAAGAGACATGCATCTACCTCATTGTCACCACACCTTAGATGAAAACTTACTTGATAATGTTTGGTAAGATTCCAATGATACTGATAGATAGCCTTACAAAATTCACATTCGTACGACTCGTAACAGTTAACTTTATTGTGAACCATGATCATATGCTCTACAAGCAGCTTCTGTCTGTCAAAACCTGAGCCACATACATCACAGGCTACAGAGTGTGTAAGGTAATGATCCAGAGTATCTTTGCTATTTTCGAAGCACACTTCACATACAGGACAGTACAGGCTCTTCTGCATAGAGGTAAACTAAAAGAAAAGTTCATCTAAATGCACACAACAGCAAAATATGCTTAAAAGTGACATTAGATACCTTGCACTTGTATCTTGTACCCTGTGTTTTGGCAATATGCATCGCCTCATAGTGCGATTTGAGACAATTGACACAACAATAACTCTTTTCGCATATCTCACAGACGTAGACATTCTCCATGTTATTCTGCTTTGGCTCACAATGTTCCCAGCTTGATACCGCTGTCACAACTCCTTCCGAGATTTTTTCATTGCCATCCGTTTCTCCAGCTGTTGTTTGTGACTCTTCAAGTGGCTCAACCACTTCAACCTTCACTTTCGCGTCTTCCTCTTCTTGGTTTTCAATCTGCAGTATTATGGTTTCCTGCAAATGAGCAAATGAATGAAAATGAACCTTTCTATATAAAAGAGTTGTCAGTAAGTACAAAATGAATCTGTAATGTACAAAAAAAACAAAAACAAAATACGGCTGTCTACCTCGTGTTGTCAGATTCGACAGAATTATCTGTCCTTTGCCGATGTAGGGAATTTAGAAATATTACTAGATAATCAGCTGTTATTCTGTCGTAATTGATATTCGTGAAAAATATACTGAGTGACAGAAAGGGTAAACACCTACGTATGTTTATCCGAGTTTAATAATTTTGGGAATATATGCTCAGTGTCCATTACTAGTAAAAATTTTCAGCTTGATTCGTCAACTGACTGCAGAAGTTGGTTCAATAATGCATCGAGGATCCACAAAAACTGACTGCTTCATCGTGAAACAAAACACGCAGCCACAACCAAAACTTAACAGAAAAACATGACCACTTTATCAATTGTTGTTCAGGGCAAGTTAAATCGATAAGTAAAGATTCTTGAATTCTAATAAACATATGTAAGTGTTTACCTTTTTTGTAACTCAGTATACAATACCCTGGTACCCCAAATGCTTTCGTACAACTTGCCTGCCCTGTCACCATCTTTAGGAAACAGAGTTGCCAGCTCCGTGTTTGAGAAATTCTGGGAATACAAAATAGTAGGAACAGTTACAAGGAATGTTGAGGAGTGATCATTCCTTGGAAGGTTGTAGTTGTCCTTAAAAGGTAATTGTTGTTTGTTTCTATTAATGCAGTTCTTCTTGGCAACATTGCTGTGACAATGGAAATTGTAAGTGAATGCACAAATAGAACGACCGTATGGGCATCTTGTTGGCAGAAATGTTAATGATACAAAATACTCATAATTATATTATCTGAAACTAGGTGCACATACCCCATTTTCATTGCTTCCATTCAGGACAGTAAACATTGGGGACTGGCTGAGAAAAAATGGCATAACAGGTTCGATCACAGTTCCATCTTCTTGCATAATTGAAATCAACTGAGGAGCTGTAATTAATAATGCGACTAAAATATAATGTATAATAAAATATTGTTGCTTACATCAAAAGAGATTTCATGATACCAGAAACCCAAAATTACTGGTTATCCTACACAACATTATCTTTTAAGCATCCAAACATTAGAGATTAATTACCTGTGATGACAGGAATACCTGGTACTGGACTAGCTTGCACTTCTTGATTTGCTACATATTCATATTGCACAACAGGAGCCAATTGTGCTAGTTCTCGAGATTCACCATCTTCTATTTCTTCTGTACCATCCATGTATACTATCTCTGGACTAACTTCAAATTGTTCACACTCTTCCTCTACAATTGTACCCAACATTTTGTTCCTATGCTCTAACTGACATGTCAATTTGCTCTGTATCCTTGTATACTCTGTGATACTAGAGAGCAAGTTGATTTGTCTGACTATAGGAACACAAAATTTAGTAGTATATTGAAATATGTATAGTGTATAGTCATGAAAATGATGCAGATAAATAAATTTATGCAAATAGGAACTATTTCTTACTTAAGGGTAAAGCATTCTCTTTCAGAACCAAATGGTTATGGTTCATTTCCAGGTCTTCTGTTTTAAAATGCTTCTGTAATAAGAATACATTGTGCTTTTAAACGATATAATTTATAAACATAACTTGCTTTGATAATATTATGAGCTGATTAAACAATAAAATGACCTATGTTATTTCTATGGTATTATAAAAGGCATAGCTTTATTAAAGTTGATTACAGTTACTTATTCTATGGTTGTTCCACTGACTCATCTTCGTATTGTCCTGGACAGCCAAAATGTTAGTAAAGCAGCTTATCCGAATTCAACTTTTTAGGAAAGTGTCAGGAAATAATGATCATTAGTTGTATGACAAAGTTTTCCTATATAAGTTGAGTATGTAATCTAAATGCAATCCTGAACTTTTTTGTACTTACATCACACACCCTTATATCTTCAACTTTAATGTTCAACTGTTGAAGATTTTCTACAGCTAAACGTTTCAAAAACTCGTAGTGCCATACAGGGTTACTAATGCCTTTAACAAAAGGAAACAAATTCTGATTAAGTAAAACAAAAATAAAATCCAAAGAACTTACTGGAAGGAACATTGAACAAAACGATTGATCTGTCATCCTTGCTACTGCTTCCACATTTAAAACAAGTCTTCATATTTTCTTCTCAGTATACAACAGAAGAATCTAAGGAAATATCGTGGATGCAGAAAATTATCACAAAAATGAGTACAAATACATTATTTTGACATGATACTCATCCACCGAGTTGTCAAAGTCATATGTTATCAATCAGTTAAACGTCATTTTCATGTTTGCCCCTTGTAGGCAACCAGATATGCTCCTTCCAATTTATGGTACAGTCAACCAGGTGAAATACATGCGTTATGGAAGATTTTGCACTCAATCTAAAGAGTGGTGGAAACTATGCCTCAAAGTAACCGCCAAGTCAAAGGGTAACGAAGTATTGTAATTTGGATTAAGAAGCTCTCTAACTTTCAATTTATAATAAAATAATGAATTAAGTTTAAGAATGTTTTTATTTGTTAAGTAATATTAAGTCAGTTATAAATACATCTTGGTAGCTGTTGTTTCATTCTGGCATTTCACCTCCTGGCACCAACTGGAATAAGGAAATAATGCTTTAGAAGTTGTAAGTTCAATAAAATGAAACTCATGTGGTTTTTACATCATGGGTTTCAACAGCATTATGAGGAATATAAGAGTGCATTTGAAAGACAGGTAACAGAACAATTTCCAAATTTAGTAAAGTCGTACTATGTGTACCATAGTTTTAAATTAATGAGGGGTTTTAACAAAACTTGCAAGTGTGTGAAGTATGCAAAATGTTGCAGAAACCAATAATGAACAATTTCTGAAAAATGCCATTCATATAAAAAATTAAGTGCATACCATTGTAATGTTGTTACCATTCAATAGAATTTGATCTAATTTTGTTATACGACGTCCTTCTGGAGTCGTCTCATATTCTGTAACATCTTCTAGAAGCATATTCACGAAATCATCGAATCCTAGTAATGTTCCAACGATTTCTTTATCATTCTTCATAATAATGTGAATTCTGGATCCGATGCATTTATCCACTAGCTCTAAAAGTACCAAGAACAGATTTAAAAACAACTTTTTTCAAATAGCATAACCTCAAAACCGTTCTCTTACCCAAAGGAAGTAGTGTTGAAGAACTGACCGGCATAGCAGTCATTTTTCAATGAGATATTTTGTGCAGTGAATAACTGAAATCAATTGTAAACTCAAATATTAACTGAAAATCAAAAAAATAATTGAAAAGCAACGAATCTCAAATACTTAAGGATATAAGAGGTAAACAAAACACAACCCCCAATGACAGAACGACAGAACGTTTTTTTTTTGCCAGTGATTACAGGTTGCAGGCAACCAGTTATATACGAGAATCTTTATATAGGATGTCCCAAATTACGGTGGTGCCGCGCTGCATAAGAAAACGCATTTAGCGTCATATTAGAAGCAAATGGAATAGGTGACACTCAGTAAGGCTCACAAGATTCAGTCTGGGTAGCGTAAAGTGGTAACGTAAGTTTCCTAGGGTAGGAAAACCTCGCAATATTTTACAAAAAAGGCACTATATAATAGCTCTGCCTACGAGATGCTGTAGAAAAGGTTCAAAGCGTTTTTTGATAAATAACATTTTACTCCTTTATTGTTTCAAGTGTATCAAACAAGGAAATTTAAAGACGATGGGGGATCATTGTCGCCTCGATATTTTAATTCATCTTTGGAAATTTACGTATGTCCCAACATCAACATAATTTTATTTGCCAAGTGATCGTATGGGCACTCGACATGGCTAAAAGAATAAGTTTTAGCAAAATAGTCGGTTTCAATTTTTTTGAGAACGAATACATTTTTTATGTAACTGAGAAATGCATAAAGACAAGGTTTGAGTCATTTTTCTTAAAAAAATTGATACGCTCAAGAATTATTACGTATCCAAAAAACGAAAATTGAAGTTAGAGAATGATTTACCGACTTTTTTTCTTTTTATTCATCTCGCCATTGCTAGAGATATTCGAAAATATAGCAGCAGCCTTATATGTCATAACCTCCCGTCATATATCGCTCTCCTTTATTAATTCAATTTAGATATTACGCAAAGCTACTGAAAACGGTGATAGGTGTAGGTGAAGACATTTTAAAAAGCTCAAATCGAATTATTAGCGCGATTACAATTAATACCAATCACTCGACTTTTATTAACTAATTCACTCTGCTTCTCAGATAATTTTTGAGCGCTAACTGCTACAGAAACCCGAGACTCTTGATGGTGTTTGATTATGCATTGTGACTGAAACTGAAAGACGGAATTTAGCTTTTGTTATTTCTGTAGTTCCTGACATAGCGAGTGTAATAATAGCGAAACTAAGTGGTGAGAGAATGAGGAATGATCATGATCAAACAGGAACGTGGAAACTATGATTTTCCTGAAAAGCAAAGGCACAACGATGGTGAGAGGGTCCTCATAGTCCTCATAGTTCAACAGAACGGGCTGCCAGAGTTTCCAATATCTCTTTTTAAAGTTAGAGGTATTTATTTGATACAAAGAGAGGTCAAGTCGTCTGGGAGGGGGAGGAGGGTAATTACCCTCTCCATTCGCTAGAAGCGAGAATTTTACGGGTCTCAAGTGAAGATAACACAGGATATTTGCAGGATGAGGTTTTACACCATTTCGTCGAGTATATGTGCCCTTCCCTATGTTAGCTGTTACGTTGTAACAAACTTATATACTCGTATGTACAAATATCAGCTTCATGGAGTTATGAAAAACATCGACAGCAACAACTGGGAAAACCCGCAAGGCTATTGTGTAAAAAAACGTCAAAAAAACCGAAGAAATGTCATCTTGTAGACTAGGTAATTTTTAGAGTGCAAATAGTTCATTCCTCGTTTGCTTGCTATAATCGTTGTTCGCTGACGTTTAACAAGATGTACAGCTACAAAACGAGTTCACAACAAGAGTACAACATCTTGTGCTAAGTTAACATCTTGTAGGAAAACCTACGTTATGTTACAAAAAACTTAGGAAATGTAAAAAAACACGACAAAATGTCACTTTTCAAGGTATTTAATACCAGTGCAGTTGCTGCAGTTGTTGCAATGGTTGCTCATAAACTATAGTCGAAATCACGAAAGATGACGATTACGTCATCATTTTAGTCTGTAGTAAAGACTAACGACAGCGATTTGTGAATATTTTTAATGAAGTTTTAGATATGACAGAGACAAACAGAATTTTATTGTCTAAATCTAAACAAACTGTATTGCTAAGTTGCATGTATCCGACAAAGATAGACGATGTTTTCATGTTGCATGATCGATCATATTTGAAAGATGACTAGTTAGGTTATGTTAAAGCAGGTTAGGTTGTTTTCGATTAATACTTTGTTCTTTGGTGTTCCTGTCTTAAGGTATTCTATACGTAACTATTTTTTTCAAAACAAAAACTCCCCACTAAAATTATTATTAAGGTATCACTCAAAACCATGAAATAAAATGAAAATAAAAATAATCAGTGAAATAACCTAACTTCGCAAAATAATGATATAAATTTGTTGTTATTATGTTCCTGACATCGTGATTTCATCATCGACGTACGTTCATTGATTACTTCAGTACAATATTGATGGTATGACGTAATAGTCATCTTTCGTGATTTTGACTATAATTTGCAATTTTTAATGCAATTTCAGGATGCCGATCATATCTAAAGAGTGCAGGTGTTGCGTTTTGTGAAGTAATTAAAGCAGGATTCGAGGGGTATTGACATTGGAAAAATTTATATTCCAGACTGATAGCTCTATATTGATACTAAACTAAATCGTGTAATCTCCCACGCAGGGCCCTGAACGCTAATCATCTAGGGGTTAACTAAGACGTTAAACGAATATCTTTCTGTTTTAAGTAAGGTGATGGAGAGGTGCATAAATCGCGGACTTCTGGACTACCTCAAACGTCACAGCTTGATTAGCGACATGTTTCCATAAATAATTTCTACTTTTTTTAAGTTCTGATAGCTGAAAACTTTTTTAGGCGAGCTTTGATAATAAACCAAATCATGAAATCTCAGAGGTATGGCTCTAGAAGATAATTCGCTAGGGGACAACTCACATGTTTTACAAATAACTTTTGGTTTCATAATGTTAAAAAATCACTTGACAAAAGTGACATACCTATAACTACAACAAAATTTTACCTCCCGCATAGTGTAGGGAACCCTTTGAATTGACGGCACTTGGGTGTTGAGGGGGACGTCCATGGTGGAGTTGGCAGCAAAGATCTTAGCTAGCACTTCCGCCTTGGCGTCCAGAAGGAGCGACTGCCATTGCGCTGCGACATTAAGTACCCTGTGCCTAACTTTTATACCATGCTGGTTTTTGGCATTGCGAACCGCTTCGTTATATTTGTTTCTGGACTCGACGTCGGCTTGTCTGTTCTCTACAGTGTGTTTTGTAAGAAGGTTCTGTGTGCCTTAATCTTCTGCTGGCGAGCAGTGTCACACGATTTGTTAAACAAGCCGTTGGACCCTGGTTTAGGTACTTTCACCGTGTGAGGGATGTATTCCTCCATTCCGACGTGGATAATTTCTGTTATCGAAGAACAGACATCCGACGCATACGAGCCAGTGAAACAGACATCTCTCCAAGGAAAGCTAGAGGAGAAGTCTCTGAGCCCCTCGCAGTCGGCATGTCCGTAATGCCAAGTTTTGTGGCCTGTACGAGTTTCTGCTGCCACAGCGGGTTCTGACCGAAACCTAACCTGCACAACACCGTGGTGTGAGTTACCCAGGGGGACATGACAGCAGTGCTGTAAGGGACAGGATGCGTGGTCAGAAAGAGATTCGGCAGGCTACTGGCGTGGGACGAGACGCGGGGGAAAGAAGTAGGGCTCGTCACCATCTGGGTCAGCCGTTGAGTAAGAGCGAACGCTTCGACTACACGACCTGCTGCATCGGTCTTGTTTGAGCCCAATCAAAGCTCATTACGGGCATTGAAATCACCGAGAATAACTACCTCTGAAGCGGGTGATTGATGTTCAGGAAGTCGATCTGGACGGCGAGGTATTCGAGTAGGTCATCCCAGTTATGGTCCGAGGGAGAGCAATAAAGGAAGCAAATAAATTTGGGTGATGTTTTGGAGTTGAGGCGAAACCACAGAATGTCCTTCCGGTCTGATTCCAAAGAAACATCTCTGGAGCAGGAAATACTGCTGCGGACAAAAGCCATAACTCTTCAGTTCTTTCTGGAGTGCACATCGTAGTTTGGGAAGTTGAGATGGTTAATCGGTGCAGACTCTGAGATTTTTGTCTCCGCTAAGAAAAGCACGGCGGGACGATTGGATTGCACGTAGTAATGACCAGTATCAATATTGCAGTTAATCCCGCAGATGTTCGAAAAACAAATTTTATCTTCGGTGTTGTTCCCTCGAGTCCACCCTCCACCCTATTGTATATTAGAAATTCGTTTTTTAAAATGTGAGTTGTAATAAAAAGCGCTCTTTAGGATTTTAAATATGTACAGCTTGAAATACATGTATTACCAACCCTTACCAGGTCTCGAACCCTCAATCAAGCAGAATCATACAAGATATAATCGACGAAATTTTTTGGTATCATCTTTCTCTCCTATACGACAAAACATGCTACCAGAATTGGGACACTCTGTAAACAAGGAAGCTTCCCAGAAAATTCTAATCGTATTAGTGTATTTCTGGTTGCCTAAAATCTGTGACTTTTAAGCTTGATACTGGACAGACCGAATACCCTAAAGCTTTGCGAAAACCTTGGAAGCAATAGCCACACGAAAACTAAGAACTAGGAAATGTTCTCATTTCGATGATGATAGAGACGTTTTTATCAAATATTTGGAAAATTCAGTCTTTTTCTTTTACTAAAAATAAATCGCACACGGCCTCCTGAGCCTGCGCATTGCTCCTACGGCTTTTGTCTTGGGCTCTTCAGTGCGGTGTATAAACCAAGATGGGAGTTTGTATTTTGCAGCTCTAGTTAAGTGTTTTTATAGTGTAAAACTGTATTTTTAAATGAACTAGTGTCTAAAATTGTGACAATAATGTTTGTGGACTCTTTAGCTTTGAATACTTTGATACAACTTTAGAATAAAGGTAAGCTCCTACATTTCTAACCACAATGTTTCCCAACATTGCGAATTTTTACGTTCTGGTGTTTGTATCCTTGTTTATTTTTGATTTCTTTATTAATATTCTTATCAGTACTACCGTATTTATTATTTAGTGAATGAGACAAACTGAGTGAAACGGTTTGATAAGATATTTGTTTATATTTT